TCACGAAAACACAAAAACATTGGAGCTGACGGACAGAATGACTCTGGTGAGTTTTGAGGAACACGTTAAAAGACTGAATGTTAACAAGTGACACTGTTTTCTTGATCAGTCAGTACAAAATAAATCACAGTCTCAAAACCAAACCAGTCAGACTTTTTATGTTAAATCTTCTCTCTTCAGTATAAATGGGAGGAAGAGCAAAGAAGAACATGGTTCATTGAAAACCTCTCGTTGCAGTTCGTCCTCATTCACACTCAGTGACAGCACTGAAGGAGGAGCTGCAGGGTTTGTTAGCAGAAGTGTTCATCTGTTAGAAAGTTACTGTCTGACAGAAGATCTCCAGGAACGGATTTTCTTTTGCCGCGTCGTCTAAATGTCCAGACACACCTCAAGTTATCCACATGCGACATAAAAGGGTCCAAGTGGGATCTGTGACCAGGCCGACTGTTTGCTTTGTTATCAGTTGTATTTCATTTATCGTTTAGAAACACTGACGTTCAGGTCTTGTATAAAAACAGAAATGTCTTTGCATTGACTAAAGTACCTGAAGCAGAAACTGAAAGCACTTGAACTACTCATCTGTGATGTGACGCTCATCAGGGAAGTTGTTCAAATCCAAGCATGAAATCGTGACATTTAATCCAGATCAATGTATTTTATGTCTCAATTAAAAAGTCTAGAAAAACAAAGCAGATTGTGGACGTCAGGAGGCTGAGCTCAGCTCCGTCACCGTTCAAAGCGTCGCCCACAGAAGAAGCCAACACTGTTTAGCTCCAAGCAGATCACATCCAGTCCAAGTTGGAGACCTAAAGTCTGATCAGTGCGAATGTGTCGGCTCTGTCTTTGACTCGCTGTTTCCTGGTTGCGTCTCCGTCCTCTGCTGGACCGGAGCTTCTTGTTAGAGCAACAACAGACGCTGAGTTCACCGACGTCGAGCCGCTAAAGAGGATTTTCACGTCTGACCTGAGCTGCTGCAGCATGTGAGACGTCCAACAGTCGCTGAGCAGCTGATGGTGAAGAAGCAGATGAAGGCTTCAGGCTGCACAGGAGGTCGAGGAGGAGAAGCTGCAGGAAACACGAGACGCTGTGAGGAGACAAACAACACATGGTTCAGACAGCAGACGTGAAGAAAGGAAATATCAGCCAGTGTCGTCATATAAAACACAACCATGAGCCACAAACATCGCTGCTGACGAACCTGGAGGCAGAAAACTGACAAGAAAACTGCCCCAATGACCTTTTTTCCTCCACAATGTGGGAGACACTTTATTTCTGTGGGATCTTCTCCAAAGTTGGATTAGTTCTAATCCAGCCTGAGAACCTTAAACTCATTGTCTTCTCAACATCTTTGCTGCTCGCTTCTCCTTCCTTTGTCTGCCAGCAAACCTGAGATGTGCTGCTTGAGCTCAATAACCAGCTCACAACACTTTGTCTGCTGAAACAGCAACAAGTTCACTTCTGTGGATAAACTGAGAGCAAGAATTCCTGCAATATTTAGTAAATCCAAACCATATTTCTGCAACTTAAAGGGAAGAAAAGGTGAGAATTTAGTCCAGACAGGAGAAATAATGTCACCTGAACTGTTGGAATCTGTGTTTCTAGTCGCAGTCTGTGGGTGAGACGAAGCTTTAACCTGTTCAGCTCTGAGCTGCTTTACAGGCCTCTGCTCGAAAATGACATCCCATAATGAAAGCAGTTTATCTGCAACCACAAGGTCTGTTTGAATCATTCTGGTGTCATAATAAAAGGAACACTTGTAAGATGTGTTCAGATGTGTAAATATCAGTTTATATGTTCCTGGTTCAGAGGAAATGAAGACGGCACACAGCACAAAGGAAACATGTTCAGGTTCACCTAAAAAGGATAAAGATGTGTTTGTACTGATCCAGCTGCAGCTCTGAACCTCTCCCACATCACAGACAACATGTGAACATTGTGACTCTGATAAAGTGAAGCAGAACAACATCAGAGAGTTTTTAGTCCAGACGGTTCAGGCGAGCTCTCATTCTGGCTCACTGGTGACCATCTGAATGTACAAACTATATATTCCACTAGTATATCACTGATGGGGTTCAATACATCCACATACAGCAGCTCTTTAGTTTCCTGAACATCCAACCAGACCGCTGTCTGTGTTCCGCGTCCTGATGCTGCTCAGACTGCTGTGGAGCTCCTGTGGTGACGCAAGGCTGTATCTCCGTCATGATTGGTCGGTTTCAGTGATTGACACCGCCTTCCAATCGTTAGAGCCAATAGAATATAGCGACAGCCACCAACAAGAGATTGACAGCACGTTTAGCCAATCAGAATCAGCAGAGCGCCATCTTGCTCACTAGTTAGCTCCTTTCGGCTAACGAAGCCTCCGAAAGACGCCCGGAATGATTTCAGTGTAACACAGGAAATAGTACTAACTGACTCCGGTGTGGATTTACCGCTAAAACAAACTTTTCATGGCTGAACAGCTATAAGGTAAGAGACATGTTCCAGCTCCAGTTTGGGTTTGTGCTGTTCTTTGGGTTGTTTCTCGCTGATGCTTTGATCTCAGAGAGCTTTGATGGACATGTCTGGACTCTGTGGACCGTCTGCTTCCGTCTGAGGCCTTGTTGGTGCGTTTAGCATAAAGTACCAAAGAGCTGGAGCCAGAAATGTGGCCAGTGGGTTGTACTGGGTGGCGCTGTATCGATGTCCATGTTTAATAATTCATTTAGTTGGTGTTGGAGTTGTGTCTGGGGCGTGTAGAGATGGATTCTATGTTCTGGTAGCCCAGGTTCTGCTGTTCCTTCATGATGAGTGCTTTGTTTCACGGTTTCTCTGTGTGGGTTAAAGGACTGTGTTGGATTCATCGTCTCCATCGTCAGGAGGAGCAGCAGGTGAAGCTGTAGTTCCATATTCACATAAAACAACCAGCGGCAGGTTTCTCTGCCTGTTACAGTACAGAGAAGCTCATCAAAGCCAGAGAAACACCAGAAAACAAAGCAGCAATGTTCAGAACAACCAGGAACAACTGACTGAATGCAGACAGGCGGTTTAAAGATGAATCCAGACATTTATTCTACCGTCATTATCCGACAGTGAATATTGTGACACATCTGTGTGGCTGACGTCTGTGAATCTGTTCTGTTGTTGCTGGATGTGTCAGCTGGTTGGACAAGCGTCAGACTGAGTTCACAGATAAATAACATTCAAACAGTCTTTTATTTACTGTTATATTTAAGCAAACTGAAGATAAATCACAAGTAGAAAAACTAAAACCTCATGAAGATGCAACAGGATGAACATCAAGTCAGGATTTGAATGTGTGACTGAGATGCAGAGAAGAACTGAAGGATTAATGCAGACAAGTGAAGCTTTCCAGTGACTGGAGTTCAGTGCTTCTGTCCACAGCTTGAATAGATGAGAGGAAGAAGAAGAAATATCATAAGGATAATAGATGGAAGTGGTTTTATTGTGAAGGAGAAAACAGGAAGCGTACAAACATATTTAACACAAATATAAGCTATGAATATTTGTTTCCTATGATGATGAAATATTGAGCAACATCAGACTTTTCCTTATATGCATGATGTATGTTTCATCATCACATGATAACAGTTATATAGTGAATTGAATGATCGGTTTAATAAATGCATCAAAAACCGAGTAAAAGTTTCACATGAACCCAACTTGGCCTGCTGCTGAGAGGAAATATGCAACCCTTCGCTTTTCCCCCACTAAATTTATAATTAACCGTTAAATGATGAAGCCAAGCTACTTTTAAAGACGTTCTAATAAGACGATTAATAGATGAAATGGTTTGATGTATTTCTAGGGACTTCCCTCTTTGCACAGTTTTGGGTATTTTAGGGGGAAAAACATTTAAATGGACCAAAAACCCTGAAAATCACCCTTTGGTTTATCTTGAGGGCCTTTAATTGTCTAATTAAGGCAAAACATCAGGGATTTTATGATGTTTTTTAGGAGATTTGTTCCATCGGGGGGAAAAAAGGAAACTTGAACCATCCCAAGGAATTAAATACGCACATTTAAATCCATTTGTGACTCGTTGAAATTCCAGTATTTCATGTGATTGAATGTCCATTAATGAACCCTTAGTTTGCACCTGGTTTAAAGAATTCAGTTCACTTTAAGGGACCAGATTAAGGGATGGTTTTCTGGCTGAATCATAATGAACTTAAACAAAGGTCTCATTCAGTTGTACGTATGTTTAAATTGTCTATATCTGGATTAAATCAGTACAGCTGTGACCTATTTCCACAAGAGTCGGTTGCATTTCGTCTAATTAGGAATTCTTATTGAGATGAAACACCAGATGATGTGTCAGTTCCTTCCAACATCACATGGTCAGCATCAATTCAATCAGTACTTCAGTCCTTTTTTATTTATTTTGCTTCACTTGTCTGTATTTAAAATCACACCTCTGAAATAAGAAAACACGAAATATACGAGGAAGAACTGTGTGGCTGAGAATTTCTCTTTTTCTTCACATTTTGTTGAATAATTTACGATATTTATCTGTCGTCAATTTGCACAAGAGGGATAAATGTGAACATGTGACAGTCAAGAGGGAATTGAACCAGTGCAGGAGTGCTTTGAGATTTCCAGTGAACCAAACCAATACAAGGCAGTTTGATTTCAGACTAAATGTAATGAAGATTTGGAGCAAACACTTGAATATTTTAAGGTTTCCTGAAAGAAACACGTTCAGATAATTCAAGCAAAATGTGAGACGGTGTTAAATAGGATGAGTGAAGATGTGTGTGAGCTCGTTCGTGTCGGGGTGTGCAGCACAGACATGTTCCAACAAGAGGAGCTCAGAAGTGACGCAGATTCTCACACAGACTGGTTTCTGCAGAAGTCACCTCCTGATTATTGATCGTGGTATCGATGCACGCTCCATGTAGACGTGGGGAACAGACAGTGTGTCTCTCAGCTGGTGTCTTCTGTCCCAACGGCGGCATCTGCTGGATATCACGGAGTCCTACAAGCATTCAGAGCTCCGCAGCAAAGTGAAACTAACAGAGCAGGAAACAGCTCGACTCGCTGCGTGGAAACACACACGGACGAAGCCCAGCGTGTCTGTGGAAGAAACCCACTGAAGAAACTGTGTGTGACCTGTGGAGGCAGTGGACGCAGCCACACACCGGTAAGACCCGGGAAGAAGAGGTGAAAACGGGTTTTAAACGGTACAATACTTCACTTTTCTACGGCGGAGGAAGAAGCCGCACCTTCAGCTCGCTTCTACACATGAGCTTCAGTCTGACGGTGCTAACGTCCAGGTGGTTTAACGGGAAAAGTCACGGATTTCGTGTTAAATTCAGACGGTGTGGCAGCAGTGAAGGACGGTTCTCTTCACCTGCTGAAGACTAACCCAGCAGTGAGTGAGTAACTTCTGCGTCTGTAGGTTTTTGAGCTATTTTCACGAGTCACAAGTTAGCTAACTTTGTGACGTGTTAGCAAAGTGGCTAACAGGCGGAGCTAACGTCCAGTCGGAGCTGACTTTTATTTTTCTGTTTGACGCGTTTTGCTTTCTCTGAGTCTGCTTTAAACAAGTTTAAACTAACAAAACATTGTACTTTGTGAGCCTAGCTGTAAGTTGTTTTTATTATTATTGATGATGGATTAAATTTTTTCACTTTTACATGTATTACTTTTTATCAGGCAGCTTGTTTCAGATGAACTGGTGATCAGATTAACTGGTGACATTCAGTCAGCGAGGCAGCTGTTACAGCGGCGATGTAGATCATAGGTGACTGTGCCGACGCCTGTTCAAAAAAACACAAACGTTAAACTTTTGCAGACTGTTTTTGCTGTCAGCTTTAACACTGGTTCCACTTTTCGTTCTTGCTCTGTTGTGAGTCGAGGCTGTTCAGCCTACAAGTAAAATACACCGTTTGAAGGGAGCTTTCAGCCAGTTGAGTGGAAACACCTGTGAGCCGCGGTGGAGTGACGGTCTCCACCAGATTAACTTGTGACAGGATGTGACGTCAGTCCGACGGCGAGACAGAAACCAGTCACAACTTGTCACCACACAAGTCTGTCTTATGGAATAATCCAAATATTACAAATCGCAATAAATCAATCTTTGTAAGAAAGTGGGCTGACAGCAAAATTATACTTTTGCGAGATATTATGATGCATTTATGTTAACTCATGAATTTCCTGTCACCCCAAAAGAATTTCACTTTGTTTTCAAGTGTATACCGAGTGGTATCAAAGAATTAATGAAGACGTACAGGAAAACGGCAACTTTAGCAAATACAGCCCAACTACTGACTGACGGTATAAATATAAGCAGTAGGAAACGCTCCAATAAACACATTAGAAATTGTTCACAAAGCTTAAACAAAACTGTTCCCAGCTGTAAGACGTACTGGAATGCCCAATTCTCAAATATTAATTGGCGAGCTACATGGTTATCCCCTTTTAAGTACTGCATAAATAACAAAATTAAAGAATTGCATTGGGGAATTGTCCATATGATTTACCCAACAAACCTTTTTATCTCCAAATTTATAGAAACTAATCCTAAATGTACTTTTTGTAAAGTGGAGGAAGAGACTCTTAAGCATCTCTTTTTGATTGCATATACTCAAAAGTAATCTGGAACCAGTTGGAAACATTTTTCATTTCAAAATACGTATTTCAGTTGTTGTGTAGCTCTCAGACATTATAACTTATTACAGCCACAAAGACAGGAAAACAGAGCATACAGTCGACCTGTACATACTGCTGGGAAAACATCATATTCATAAAGCCAAGTGCAGCAACAATAGACCCACTTTTCTGTATTGATGAAAGAATCTCATAATTACTTCATGTGCATATCTTTGGTTTGTGATAAAAACGCTGTTAAAACATTGGACCTCATGCATAAATGAGGAATTATCTCTGATAACCAGGTCATTGACTAAACTGGGTAACTTACTTCCAGGTTTATGGATGCACAAACACACATATCCTTATGAAGGCGGGATAAAGATTGCATTAAGTGTCTCTCTGTGGTGCGACTGTTGGTGCTGATTATTTTCAGAACGCTGATGATCGTGATCTCTGGAATAATCAAACTGATCCTATCAAAGCCGTTACAATTGTTGTCATGAACATTGTCACCTACTGTGATGGTTAATTTGACTCTGTCCTGCCTTTGCATTTCTGTATGCCTCGAATAACAATTAAAAGAAAAAAGAAAAAGTTCACAGGCGATGTTTGCTGTATTTACCCTCCAGATGTTCTGTTTGCAGATTGGTCCCGACCAGACCTGCGTGTGTGTGAAGATAAAGATCCTACATGAAGAAGACCTCGCCGACAAAGTAAACATCACACGTTAATAAAGTCTATATCCATGTCAATGTCATCTACAGACAGCAAAACCAACCGTGCTGACCAAAATAAAAAATCCGGTGAGAGGATTCAGAACCATGTAGTCCAGATGTAAAAATACCAGTTCAGCGTTCTACGCATTGTGCCACCGATCAGCTCGATTAGGATCCCCTCTCATTCCCATGGATCTTTTCCGTTCTGTCAGGTGTTCAACACCTGGTGGTTATTCAGGAAACACGCCCAGAGCAACTGCTGATAGTCTCAGTTTAACACAGACACACACTGCCTGTTTAATAACGACACACAAATCATTGTCTGACCAACAAAACCCACAACATAGAAGCACGCTGTGTTGTGTTGTGTTGTGTTGTGTGTCAGTCTGAGCTTCAGTGTCAGAGATCCAGAGCAGAACTTGAAGCTTAACTCAGGTTTGCCACGATCTGACCTTCATATGAATAAACTGTGAGGTGAAGATATGCAGTGTTTTGGTTGAGTAGGAACGAGAAGCCAGTTTGTGAATTGTGACGTGTTATTTATTGTGTTTTCTAAGAAGTGAAATGAAAGCGGTTCAGATTGTGTGACATGACAGTCTAGGACGTGGAGGACTGGACGTGTTTGTGGTGTTTTCTCACTGAGGAGTTCTGACAGCGTGGCCTCAGTTTGTTCTGATGATTCTATCAAACCAGACTAATGTTGTGCTGCGTGTTGTTGTGGTGGGAGGCTGCTGTGTGTGTTTCAGTGAACAGACCTGAGTTAAGCTTCAAGTTCTGCTCTGGATCTGTGACACTGAAGCTCAGACTGACACACAACACAACACAACACAACACTGACAAGCATCTGTTTTGTTCTGTTTCTGTTTTGTTGTCTCTTTGGTTTATTGTCTGTAGCTGTTCAGTGTGTACATTATTCTGAAAATATCTTAGAAGTAACAAAAATACCTCCAAGGAAAGTAAAAAAAAAAAAAAGGTAACTAGCTAGTTGATGCTAAAAAGTAGACAAATATTAGCTTGTTGCTAGCGCAGGAAACTTTGCAAATATTGTTGTGATTCGTCAACAAGCGGCCTTCTTTGTCTAATAATTTATCGTGAACAAAAATATACATGCAAATGTTCCTTTGTAGTGACTTTGAGATAAAGTTAAAAGTCTCATTTTCTACTGTGATGGTCGGAGAAGAATTGAATTTAGTCAATTGGACACAAAAGGTTTTGAAATGTTTAACTGGTGACAAGTTGTCAACCATGAAGCCTGCTTAGGTGTGGCTTTGAAGGACGACGACAGGATGCTGTGAGCAGTTTGAATAATAAGCCTTAAAATGCAGCTTTATTTAAATGACAAGAGAACGATGAGAACAGGTCGTTGGCAGGTTTGATGCCCCCATGTCAGTTACAATCATAGCCAGGCACTTGAATGTCCACAGAGCCACCATTTGTCATCTAAGAAATGATTTGTGACAGCTCTGCATGTCCAGCAACAGGATCCTGTCCCCTAAAATGTCTGCCGACTTTGTTTCGTCCTTCAGGAAGAGGACGGCATCATTACACAAGCAGCACTGACAGCTTCATGAACTCTGTGTGCAGTAAACGTGTTGCATGACGTGTTTCAAAAGGGAGACACGCTGCTTCCTGACATGTGATTTCTGGTTAATGAACCCACTCTCCTTCGTCCCGTTATCACTTCCCACACAGTCGTGCTCTGTTGTTTCATGCTCTTGTTCCATTGTGTTGTTGAGATGAAGTGTGCTGGAATAACAGATACGTTCTCCACAATATGAAAAAGAATGGATAGAATTTAGTCAAATATGACATTTCCTATTTCTGTTCAGTCTTCTTTGTACCAAATAGATTTTGTTTGTGGGCTGATTTTAGAAGTGTCCAGTTCTTCCTCTCAGAGAAATAAATACCTGCGTACAAACAACACTAGATCGTTATTTGTTCTTTCCTTACTTACGGCTGCATGAAAAACCAGAACGTCATGTAAATATAGTTCATACGTGCTCTGATTCTGCTTCAAATCGTGTTTAGTTAGGTTGATCTCAGACACCTAATACAATAAATAGTGCCGTATTTGCTTTTAGCTAAAAAAAACTGCCGTAGGTTGATTGATATTCAGTTACAGTGTCTTTTAAGGACAATATTAACTGTAAATCACAAGGGAGAGTGTGTGTGTGTGTTTTAATAACTCAGAGAAGGTGAAAATGATTTTCAGCCTTGATTTGAATTTAACGCTTCCCCAAGACAGTAAGAGAAGGAGAAAATCAGGGCCTGCAGATGACTGACTAGTGCTCAGAAAGCCTAAAGGTCACCTCCCAACATGCTTAAAGTCACATTTAAATATTAGGATTCCATAATAATTTGTGTTTGTATGTTTTTCCATAAACAAGTGAAGCTGCTTTGTTCAAAGTTGTCGGTATTTTATCACCTCGTGCTGAAATGAAAAATGAAAAATGTTAAAATATGTCAATATTTTTCATTTCAGAAGTTTCGCTGCTGGACAGAGGATCTGTTCTACTTTCCTGAAAAGTCCATTCTCACTGTGCATCTACTGGAGGTTTCAAGTTTCCCCATCAGTCGTGTAAGTTGCCTCCTCGACCGTGACGGGCTCCACAATCCTGTTGTGTTGTCATAAGTCCTGCAGGTACATTCAGGTGAGCACAGACAAACCTTCTTTCAACAGCTTTCTGTGTTTGTGTTTTAGCAAATGACTTCATTTGCATAAAGTTGATAAAAACAAACAAAAAAAACCTTTTACTTGTGACCCTTTTTCGGTATTTTGCAGTTGTCCTCGGTCACCTGCTATCCCACAATTCTTTGAGAGGCAGTTTAGTCTGGTCCCACAGAAAATGAAGAGAATCGCCCTCGGCTCATGTGGCCTCCTGGTCCCAGTGCAGAGAGGAGCAGGTGTGATGGTGTGTAAGACTAGCAGCTATTTATAATCAATAAGAGATCAAAGTTATTCTCACTATATGACTGTTGTCCTGCAGTTTTTTTTTAATGATTTTATTCTGATGAGGTAAATCTCTTTCCAAAGGTGCTGAGCAGCTGATGGAGTTTGTCATCAGTGGAGACGTTGAGGCCGATGTGTGAGTGTTTCTCTCTGATGTTCTGGGCTGTCTGCATGTATCTGTGTATGCTGGTGTTTGTGCAAATGTGCTAACCTTGTTTTGCTGTCTTCTTTGTTCAGAGTGTAAATGTAGTTTTGTCTGGACTTCAAACATTTTAGTTTGACAATGAAACTCTGAATCTGTGAATAGAAAACATTCCATAACAAAAGCATTGCAGTTTTTTCCAGTTTCACAGTATTGACAAAGGAAGTAACAGGGCTCCAGACTAACTTTTCCCCTCGTCGAGCTGGTGCTCCCAACATGGTCAGTGAGAAACACCTCACTAGCTGAACATTTCCTTAACCATAGACACCACATTTACCGATGTTCCCTGAACGCCTCACATTGCAGCTGCGCTAGATGCTGCTTGGTGGCTGCGGTGTGCTCAGACACTTGTGTGTTTTAGAGAGCCTAAACATGCTCAAAAACTCACCACAGTTTGCACGCACATCCGAACTGGGGAGAATTTTGATGTTTTGGTGGACTTGGGACTTCAGACCCTAAACCCAACAGGAAGTCCACCATTTTGAATAAACGCCAAGACTTTTGCTCATTTTCAAAGTCTGTCTCCTCCGAGGGGGTAACTCGTACACACCTGAAATTTGTCCAGCACATGCAACAGGGCTTGGTGATAGAAAGTTACACTGGGACTCATACGAGCACTGCTGTAAGAAAAATGTGTCGACATGGAGTCCAGTGTCTTCACTCCTGTTTTATGTTGAGTGAAACACAAAACAGGAGGCGCCGTCTAACCTGCCTGAATGTGCTCCGATCTGCCTGAAACTTAACACGTTTGATCAGAGTCCCGGCCAGCGCACGTTCCCGCCACGCCCGGACGCACACGCCGCCCCGACAGGCGTGCGTCGAGGACCCGTCCATCGCTGCTTGCAGCTTTAAGTCTGTCGGTCTCAGTCTGGAGCCCTGATTAAACAGAAAAGTAAACGTGATTAGAACATGATCTGTTGGTGTGAACAGAATGTGCACGTCATCAAATATGTATGAACACGTCAAAAGCAAAGTGCAGTTTATTGGTCAGACCTGCAGAGCATTACAATGTGAGACTGTGTCAACAGGTCACAGATGTTGAATCGTAGCTCTGCTTGGAGCTGTTCCAGTCTTTGGTGTGTTGAATAGTTGGTTTCAGCACTCAGCCTCCTCCTGACAGTCCTGGTGGGTTTGATGATTTTTAAACTTCTGTAACAGCCACAGATTCAGCCAGGTGTTCTACCTGTGCTGCAGACAGGATGTAGTTTATCTGCCTACAGAATAAGATTGTTTGGATCCTCCACCTTCTCATTTTGGTACCATGTTCTTCAGTAGGACATCGATAACTGTCTTTGAATGAGTGATGGACTGGTTATTGGCCTGGTCGATTAACGAAACGTATGTAGAACAAAACTACACAAAGACATGTCAGTAAAGGTTTGTGTTAGAGTTTGTGTTTTCTAAAGTTTGACAGTAAGATTTGCATTTTTGCTGCAAATAAATATTGTTTCCTAATATCGATTATCAGTTATCTTGATTACTAATAATCTTTTTCAATATCTGTTTTCATAAAACAACATATCAGTAGACGCCTACTTTGTACTGAGATACACCATT